TGTAAAAACAACAAACCCCCACCACTTTTACAAACCACAATTTTATCAGCACACAGCATATTCTTGTTACACATACACACACAAAACAATCTGTTTTGGTTTCAAATGGTGTCATCAGGGTCTTTAAAAATGATAACCCTCTTTGTTAGAAAAACCAAATATTCTTATGCAATACTAAATCTGTTGTGTTTGGGTTGTAGTAGATATGCTGTACCTAAGTAATAATCTCTGTTATGATCCAATGCTATTTGGATATGCACAAGCCCTCTACGACTAGTAAACCTCAGTCTCCCAGCAAAAGAAACCCAGTCTGGAACACTGCTAGACAATCCAGGTTGAGAGGCCCAGTGGCCCGGCAAGAGCAGCGAAGAGGATGAGGCGCGAACGCTCAGGGAGGTAACAGGTAGACCGAAGAAGCAGCTCTCTTTCCTCTGGACAGTTGCAGAGCATTTGATTAGCTCTTTTGTGAATTTATGAGGTCTTTAAAATCTCTTCAAAGCACTCCATTGATAAGACGAGGTGGCAGAGCACATTGAACATGCAGTAGTACAGCGTTTACTGTTATAATTAAAGAGATGAAGATTTGGCCGATTTCTTGTTATTTGTTTGCACACAAAAAAATTGGTTTCTTCTTGAAAATGATTCCGTTTTCTTAAGCTGTTGTAATATTGCTTGATATATTGGTCACATAAAACAATTCAGTATTTTCTCACATATGATCAGCTAAGGTCTACCACCAAAACCAGTTCTTCTCTCTCATGAAGTGAAAATCTGTTTTTCATTCAAGTCTAAATGGTTTAAGTGGCATGTAATGTGTTCTACAAATATAAAACAAGCAATATGCCTTGTGTTACAATTACGGGTCTCTACAGTGCAGTCATCATCCTTTTGAATTGACTTTATCCTTTCAGTGGACTCACACTGATAAGGTTTACTTTCAGTCTAGAACAAAAAGTAATAAAACCCCACTACTCTGTTTTCATCTCCTTATGAACTGGTATGGTTGGCAAGATAGCAGAAAATGGTCATCAAACACATGGATACTTGTGTCTAACTATAAACTGCGCCTTCACACGGGCCTGTAAATTGATGTCCTGTATATTCTCACTTGAGGTATCCCAATTTAAGTAAGGGATCAATGCTAAGTGTGCTATTCAATCAGTGTATAGTATTCAGTAAAATGTGCTGGTCCTTCTGTCTCTGCTCTGTTGTCTGTTTGTAAAAAAAGCAATAGTGTGTGTGCGTGTGTGTATGTGTTTGTTCTCACAGTGTGTGAATAAAATAAACCCCAGACAAGGCTTTAATAATTACAGAGGAACAGGGTTATGTGGACGAAGAGGTTGATTTTATTTTTGACTTTTAAAAAAGAAAAAAAGGGTTTTTGGAAACGCTGAGCTTGATCCATCCATAATAGGTGTAGGTTTTTAAAAAGCATGACATAATGTCTTCAACAATTCATAGGTCTGCAGAAGGCTGTGAGGCAACATTGACCAGCTTCACAGTGAAAACATGCATTGCTATCGGTTGGGACAGCGCGGCCACAGCCTGGGCTGAAATGAATTCTGGACAGCAAATTGTGAAAATTAGTCTTCTTGGGACCGTAAATTGAGAAGATCAGAGTTATGTCACGCTTAAACGTTGTGCTGGAGTGTCGGTGTGTTACCCAGAATTATGAGTCAGTCGTCACATTTAAACAGAACTCATTTTCCAAAGCACAGCTGATAAGGATTTATGATTAAAAAGACGTTTAAGAATATAGTTTAAAAAAATAAATAAAAAATGAACAGCAACTTTTAGCCATAATCGAATGTCAAGCAATAATATATGTCTGTGTATTATTTTTGATTCTTTTGTGCATAATAGTCTTTAAACATCTGCATGTAAATACACCTCTTATTTATCACTTTTTGGTTTTGGTTTTATTTTGTTGTTTGTTATTTTTATGTTTCATCTGTATATTTGACCAGTTCTGTTCCCAGGTGGAGAACTAAGAACTTGACATGGCCTGTATGCTGTATATCTTATTTTCTCTCTTTCTCTCTCCCTCGTTCTCGGCTGTTTATTCACCATATTTAATGTTATTATTGATCACATGTATAAAGGTAGCTTTGTAATTTCTGTCTGTATAGGTAAGAGGAAAATACTGCTACTAAGGCCTACCCAGTGAAAATATGTTCCTGTTTATCAATTACACCATACTGTACGATAACTCGGTTTCTAGTTTGCTTCCCTCCTTTAGGATTAGTTTGATAGAGATAGGATGTGCTCTGACATTTATTTTGTGTTGCCCTAATGTGTGGTGCTAGGTAAGTTAATTTTGTGAACAAAGTATTGATTCCTACGCCTGGCAGCCCTATTAGTCCATTCATTTCATTGCATATTAATGAATTATTGATATTAGGACTCAATAAATAATAAGGATAATGAAAATGATAATGGAAAAAATTACCCAGCTGGTACCTGTATCAGTGTGCTAGTTTTGGGTTAAGGCACTTATTTCCTTCTGACTTATAGCAAAGCTAGTATCTGCTAATTAACAAGTTATTTAAGGTTGCTTTTCTGGTTTGTGGAAAAATGATAATCAAACTGAAACAGAAGTATTGTGTTTTTTCTTTGTCTGATTGTAAAAACCACTCACTGAGGCTATAGTTTGTCAGGTGTTAAGATACTAAATATTTACCTCTCTTGTGTCTGCATAATTCTTAACCTGATGCAGGGAAGTGGTGCTTGGATTTTATTAAACAGAGCCTCGGTATGCTTTTGTTATTCCCCCATTTTAGACTATCCTGAAAGTGGTTTCTTCAGACCAGTGGCATAAACCCTTTGCACCACATGAAGTGTTACAAATGTACATGAAAGAATTGCCATTTGAGGACAAAGTTGACCTTTTCTCTCCACTCTGTAGCAAATATAAGTGAGAACATGCTTGCAATAATACACAACGTATCACACTGAGTGCCTCTCGGTGTAACAAGATGCATACATGGTTTTGATTGTCTTTTTTTGTGGTTTTCCAGACGTGTACTGAAGTGACAATGTATTTTGTACATGAGGATGAACTCTCACATGCTTCAATGTTTTTCAGATTCTTTCTTTATGTGATGTTAATCCTTTCCACTTGGGTTGATGCGCTATGTTAAAGGAATTCAATGTATAGATGGTCCGTTTAGAGTGTACATGTCACCCCTCACCTTATTTGACAAACATAACTATGAAGTTTGTTTCATGTTGATCTTGACTGGTCAAATAAATGCTCAACGATAATATTACAGAAAAGTTCACCTGCACATTGGGTTTTTTGTTTTTGTTTGTTTGGAATAGGCAAAAACTTACAGGCAATCCACATTTCTTCACCTTCTGTTTGTTTTATATTTTTTTCTATTTCACCAAGAACAGTAGATTTACTAATTCATTGTATATGAAGTATTTGTATGTGTTTGTTAAAGAGGCATACAACACATCTGGATTTCTTTCATGTTCTGTGTTCAATGTATGCTTAGTCAGTTGGGGTAACTTAACATGAAGGGTGGGCAGAGCACGGGTGGATTTTCTTTCCATGCAAAAGCAGTACAAATGATGGGCAAGCCGAAACTATTGTGTGGTTGTCACAAATTTCTAAGTCACACGTTTGCTACTGATGTTAAAATGGGGGGACAGATGATCATGTACCTTTTTATCCAGCTCTTTTGAACTCTCTTTAGCAGGTAGTCTATTCACAAACGTAGTTTTGCTCCTTCTTGTCTGATTCTTAAATATGAAAATAAGTATTTTGATTCATTTTGTAAATACAGCTGTAAAGAAAAATAAGAAATTTAATGTTGTCTTTTAAATACTTTTCATTCTAATATGAATGTTGTTATATTGTACTTAGAAACTGTACCTTTAATATTACCTTTATTAAAAGTGCATTGGACACATCGATTTTAGATGTGCTTTATGTGCTGTTATCCCATAATAAAATTTACCGCTTGTAATGGGCTTTTATTTCCTGACTCTTTATCTGTCTCTGTTGTGTGCTCTCTCCCTAGCTCACTCTCTCTTAACAGAATTAATCAAATTGCATATTTGTTATTCATCAATATCAGTCTCAGTCTAACTGCACTAAATAGTTTTCAATTTTTAATCAGGGGTGGTAGCCTCACTCCACTGGAAACTATTCTCCAACTTCTATGAACAAATAATGTAATTTGATTAGTTATGTAGTTATATAATACTTACATCTAAATCTGCAACTGGCAATGAAGAGTTTTGTTGTGACAATTTTTAACTACACACTGAGAAAGATTTTCAGTCCAAGACATTTCAATCTAAGACATATAACTGTTCATATGCACATGCAATATGAGAACTGAATTGTAGTGGTCATGATGACATTTGGATGAGATTTAAATTCAGATAATTATTATTTGATAAGATCAAAATCAAAACAGAACAGCAGTCAATCTAACAATTTATAGCACTCACAAACTTGGCAATTCTTTGTAACAGGTTGCAGTTCTGTAGTTTCTAAGCTTTAGGGGGAAAATGTCTATTATTTTAACGAATGACTCAATTTCCCTGCAAGGAAGATTAATGTTTCATCTCATATTCCAATGTGCATTACATTGGCCACTGTGGTGTTGAATTTGTGTGAATTTTGAATTATTTTCCATATGTACCCATCAATGTAAACTCCCTAAAATATTTACAACAGTGTCATCATTTTATCATTGGACTGATGCAAAATATAAAGCATTAAGTTTAATACAGTATTTTCCAGTCCTCCCTAGTGCTGGAAAACACTATTGTGGCCTGCAGAGTCAGATGGTGTCGGTGGGAAAACAAAACAATCTTATTAACTTCTCTTTTAGATGGGCTGGAGGACGGGTATTGAACACCAGAGTCAAGCTGCAAAGATATATTTTCTTGTTTCATGGACCTATTACACACACAGCGAACAGGCAGATCGACTATGGTGAATGTCCGGAGGGGGGCAGCAATGTAGGCAAAGCGCCTAAATATCAACATAACTTCACCAGACGAAGAATGTCACCTGTCAAACCATTGCTAGCTGGCTAAAGCTAACTCGCTTATTTACAGTAGCTTCAATGCCGTCATTCCTTCGGACCGCTAACGTTAGGTACTGACAATAATGGAGCTGGTATGGTAAGTTATATTTTCATTGCAAACTCTTCGTGGTATGCCACAGATGTAAATGTTGTGACAATTCAACTAACTTTGGGCTAGCTAATGTTAGCTAACAAGCTAATTAGCGTACTATGAATGAGAGTTGTGTTGTGGCTGGCAGCTAACCGAACTATGCTAACCAAACGTGAGCTTCTGGTATGATAAAAGCAGGCTCTGAATAAAAAGTGCGCTTAACCGGACAGTAATTACCATTATGAAACCGTTTTTGTGGCTACGCATATTCACCTGGAAGACTAAACGAGAGAACTGCACCAGGTTAATTTTAGCTGACAAGTGTTCAAGTTGCGTTAATGAGACAGGAAGTTAACGATAAATTAGCTAGCGTTAAATAAACGCAGAGCTTTTTTAGTCAAACGAAATGTTTAACGTTATTTTTGCACTATAACGTTATTTATTTATATTTTAGCTAAGCCAGATAAGTATCCTATTTGGGCTAAGTTAGTTAAACAATAACGTTACTGTTAGTCAATTATTTAAATGAAAATGTAAGTTAATGGACATATTGCATCTAACATTGTTTAGTTTACAAATATAACGTACTGTTCCAGTGTAAGGTTAATATAAACATTGGCATGTGTGCTTTTGCTTCAGGACGCTATCCTATTTATATGTTGCCGTGATGTTTTTTTATATACAGTCTATGGATTTAACGCTACAATTGTGCACATTACGTTACGATAACGTTAAAGTTGGCTTGTATTTTGAAGGTCGGAACAGGAAGTTGTATGTATTCCACGTGACTTCATAGTGTGCACGTTGGACAAATGTGTACTTGGATAATTTCGGCTAGGCAGTGTTAGAGTTACTCTGTTAGAGTAAGTTTAGTTACTCCATTATCAAGGATAACGGTATGAAATCGTTTGAAAGTCCTAGCTAGGTGACAGGTGAATTTATTCTCTCATATTTTTGTACAAAATATAACAAACACAATAATGTATATCTTTACATGTTCTTGTTATATTTCATTTAGACAAAGACCTTTGCTAAAACAAATGAGGACGAAACTAAGAACATGCATGGCACATTTTAATTGTGTCAGCTTGATGTCACCATGATCAGCAACAAGCAACTTCATATCACATGGTACAAAAATATAAATAAACCAAAACAAAATCAAAGCATTTGCAAGGTCCAACTAAGACATTTTTGCTAATTTTACATATTGTAGACCAACTGCTTAAAACTTAAATAATTTTAGCACTAAATATAGATGTATTGGCAGTTACATACCTCCAACCCACAGCTATTTGTGACTTTAATGTGTGTTTAGTTAGTAAAGAAATAAACATTAATACCTGATGTAAGAGCCATAATAAGAAAAGCAATGTGTAATATATATATATATATATCTGGAAAATGTAATCTTGAATGCTTGCTGTTGCTAATGTTGATATTGTAGAAGCTAAAATATTTTTCAGATGCTCTTTGTGTTGATGACATCATGGCCAATACCTCTCAGTGGGAGTTGTTTAGTCCTCTGAGCAAGACAAGCTGAGACAAGACTGAGAAATAACAAATGGATCTTGTATCTTTTATTTTTTAACCGTAAATATTTTGAAATACAATTGCCAGTGCCTGAAGACTCATTTCATGTCAAACTCATTGCTATGATAGAGACATTAACTTACTTAGTTGTATATTTGTGGAAGAATAGAAAAGAATTCTGCTACACCCGAGTCGTCCATTAGATAGGGTAATTGTCATTTATAGTGTGCACTACAACAGCAACACAGAGTAACCAATTAAGTTGCATGTCCATATAATGTGTCCCAGTACAAAAGCAGGGCAGTGCAGAAAGCATTATACATGTTTGGGTACAACAGAGGCCCTCTAATATCATATATGTTTCTCTTTTTTAATTAAAGGGAGGACCCTCCAGTCCCTGACACTCCTTTCTTTACCAGAGATCTCTATGAGAAATATTCCCTTGCACCTAATATCAGAGAACTGTGGGAATTTCTCCAAAGGTATGTCAGTAAATTAACATATTAAGTAATACATGATTTCGGGTGCATTTTTACTGTGTTTTTAAAGGCTTACTAGTGAGTGTTTATCTGACATGTCTTTCCCCCTCCTTTGCCAAGTCCTGTAGAGAATGCTGACATAAAGCAGGAGTGTGATGCCTCTGGCTCACGCTCCAAGGATGAAGCTGCAGAGTTTAAAGACAACAGTTGCATCAGCAAGGAAGAGTCCTGTTGTGATAGTGATGCAGACAATGCTGCGGAAGGTGCAGAGGAATGTAAGGACACCGGAAAATCAAAAGTACAGCTCAAGCAGGTTGAGATTGAGACGGATGTTGCTTATCCTGAACCCAGACTGCCCTTCCCCTGTATGTCCAGCCTGTCCAGCAAAGAGCAGAAGACATATCTTGCCATTTTGATGAGTAAGAAAACAAGGGAACCTCCGCAGGTACCAACATTCCCTCCTTAATGATATTTTAATCTTGCCAGTCGTTGTTAAATCACTTCTTCAAATAATCTTCTGTAAAATTTCAGAGCTTAAAGGCACGAGTAAACAATGAAGTGATCCAGTTCATGAGGTACCTGCAAGATGTGGCCAAAATATGTGCTGACGACTACAACTTCATATCACAGGGAGCTATGCAATATTCAGAGGTACTAATACTACAACGACTGCACCTGTCATCAGCTCTGTGAGATGTATGTTCATAAGTTAAATTAAAACATAGAGTCATAATTTGTTTGTCAGGATTTCTTCACGGGCTGTTTGGAGTGCATTAAGACATTTCCCCAGCTCTACCAGATCCATGAGATGACTAGTCTGACAGGGGGAACATTCAATCCAGGGCTGATGCTGGCCTTTGAAAAACAGCTGCTAATCATGGTAATGTACTTGAAGGAGCTGTTCCAGCCCCAGGCGTATAAGTATATGAAGTTGTAAACCTACCTATTAAAACATACTGAAGTTGCTCATAAATGCCATTGTCCAGTTTTCTATTGAACTTGGAAGTGTCTAATTGCAGAATCAGTCTTTTGTACCCTTTATTTCTCCAGGGCAATGTGGATATTACAGACCACAAGATAGTGCCTGCTGATGCACAGCTTGCATCGGATTATCAGAGTGTTTCATCAGAGCATCCTCCAGCTAAAAAAGCTAAGGACATGCATGCTGTAAGCAATTGTCTCCCTTTTTTAATTACTCCAATAAAGTAAGTCACAAAGATGTTTTACTGCTAGAATGGGATTCATGACCGCAGGTCTATTGTAACTCCATTTCAGATCTTGCAGTTTTCACAAAAGACACCAGAGGGTGTTCATGTCTTGCTCAGCAAAACCAGTGCTACTTTTGTTTCTTGATGGCAGACAGACCTGTGTTTGTTTTTACTGATACAGTAGCTGTTCTGGTATGACCTTTTCTACATGTTTTTGTCATTTATGTTTTTGTCTACAGACAATCAGCAGTGATCGTAATGCAGAGAGTCTGTGTGCTCGTTATGAGCCTCACGTGTGTCTGACTCGAGATGCCCTGGTCAGGCTGCTAGACAACCATGGCCCTGACTTTGGAGAGCAATGGGAAGTACCTGTCTGGATCAAATTAAACCCAGGAAAAGGTACAGCATCATCATTCGGGTAATCAGGAGACTTATGCTGGAAGTTGGTTTAATTAGGGCCAATTTAGACTGCATTTCAAACGGGTGAAAACAATACGTGCCCTCTCTTGTCCCTTGTGTTGCTGTTAAGTTTGAGCTATCAAATCTTGGCAAAATTCCCCAACATAGTTTAAATGCACCAAACATGTGCTAAGTTGGATAATGACCCCAGAGATTTACCTGGCTACATTAATGCGAAAGAATAATGTAAGTAGCAGTGCGTATACAGAGAAGGTAGTAAAAACAGAAACCTGCACCAATTTTTTTTTTACATTTCTTCTCCATACAATGAATAGAATTTTCACAGCAGCAATAAAAATGTATCCATGTGGTTTTAGCTTGCTAAATAGCAATAGAAATAGGGGGAAAGCTATATAATATGGAATGCTTCTTGGCTGACATGTTTCAAAGTTTAAAAACAAAATAGAAGCATCAATACGTATGACATACTATATATTGTATCCACTTTAATTATTTCACATTGACAGTACATATAAAGATTTTGCAATACAGTCCGAGTCTGTTTTTTCATATTTAGTGAAAGTTAGTGAGTTTGTGACAGAAAGTCAGTGTGCAGCGATCATAGACTGATGCAGAGATCAGATGACTCGCAGTGTGTAATGACATTGAATGACCTCATGGTGGCACTGTTTCACACCTTTATTTCATATCTCCTTTACAGGCAGTAGCCAGAAAAAGACTGTGTACATAGACTCACCACTCCTGAAGACTGAAATGACAGTGAGAGAGAGGAGTCATACCTACCACGAGGAGAGTTTGAAGCTTTCCATCAAGAAGAATGGAAGTAAAAATGTGTTCCACTTAATGACGGAGCTTCCTGCAAATGAGCAGAAACTCTCAGTGGTATGTTGACGCGCAGATAAACTTGGTTTATTAGTGCTATCATGTTATATGTGGTCGGTCTTCATCAGAACCGTGATTCTTTTTCTATCTGTTGCTAAATCAGGAGACCTCACAAAGAAATGTAGTGTCTTTTGAAAACAACGGTCTGGACTTTAAAGTGGACCTCACTGACCTGGAGACATTTGGAGAGACGACGCGCATTAAAACCCCCAAGATGCAGAAAACACAGAATGAGCAGGATGCACTTGTTAAAAGTCAAAAAGCTACAAGTTCCCCGCCTTTAAGTAAGACTAAAAGGTCTAGTGAGCATCTGGTTAATACTAGCAGCAGTTCCCAAGAAGAGATGAACACCTCATTGACAGATATGGATGATCCAATAATAGAGGAGACAACTACTGTACCAAAAAGTGAACAAATGAGACGGGACTCTGCTCAGGAAAGTAACGGACACACTGCTTTTACAGGAGACTCCGATGATGAGAAGCTAGTCATTGACGACTCTGTGTCTCCAGATGCAACACAACCTAAAGCTAAGACCACGCCATGCTCTGCAGACCCCCCGATTACCCCCATTTGTGAGTCTGTACCTGTAGATTCAGAGTCTTCCCCTCAGAAAGTTACAAGACAGAGGCGACAATCCAAAAGAGCAAGGGTATCTGGCGACCAGCTGGGTGAGATCCTGCGCATGCAGACAGCAATGTTCAACAATGCCAGTGACACAGCCAAATGCTCCATATCCCAGGAGACTAACTCACCCACCCGATGTATGGGACCCTCAGTTCACTCCCATTCAATGTCTCTGGTTAAACCCTGCGTGTCCTCATATTTGGAGAGAAACCAGAACCAGGATGGAGAGACCTGCGCTGCTCATGAATCTGCACCAGTGGTCAACATTACTACTACAGAGCACAAAAGTTGGTGTGAAATTGATTTTCTTTCTGTGGTTTTAAGTTGTGTCTTTGTGCTTAATTGTCATACAGTACATGATTGTCCTCCACGCAGAAATACTGTCAGATGACCTGCAGGCTGGTGCAGAAGATGAACAAGATTACGAGGCTCCAGGGGAAGGCAACCTGCTCTATAAGCTCTACAGTCTGCAAGATTTGCTGGTCATGGTGCGCAGCTCTGTCTCACTGACCCATACCAGAAAAGTAGGCAGCAGCCAAAACCAGGTATACATGTTGGTCTGTACACATCCTCCAGAGTTTCATTTCACATATTTAAGTATAAAATTAGTAAATGCAACAGCCCTATTTCTATCCTTTGTTTTCTGCCCCAACAGTATGTGCCAGTGCATGTCTTGCCCAAGCTGGAGTATCAGTTGAGTTATGGTGTTGAGTGCCTAAGCAGCAGTGAGGCTTGCCAGCTGTGGACTGAGACATTGCTCCACTCCAGCACTGTATCCTATATAGGTAAAACCTTTTATCACTTTTACCTGCAATCCTGTTCTTTCTTAATTCACTGAAAATAAAGACAGCGATGTTCCCAAATTGCTCTCAGTTCTAGTATAATGTGGAGTGTCCCTCTAGTCTTTCATTTTCAACATAACTGCCAAGAAAATAGGCAAAGTAACATATATGTGGATGGAAAAAAAGGGAAAAATCTCTTCTCCTTCCCTCACAGGGTTTAGTCCGCATGGCAGATCCTCCCACAAACCAATGGAATAGTCTTTAGATGACTCACCGTCCTGCTGTGACTGTGTAGTGATTAAGTTTACTTTGTTGCCATAACTACAGCCACATATGATTATGGGGAATTACAAAGAACGCATGGTGTGCCGAGCTCAGCTAAATGCTATTTTGAACTTGAGTTAAAATCTTATCCATAGCCTCATGATTCGGGGAAAGACCCCTTCCTTTTTCTGTACTGCTTGTGTAGGTGTTGGCTGGGAATGTACGTCATCATTTACACAGCAAATTATACCCCTTTCCAGTTTGTTAGCATGGCTGCCATACTGGTCAGGATCATCAGCGTTACTTTTGGTACAGCAAGCTTGTATACGTGTTCCTTCACTGCTGTGAATAGCTTTGCCAATAAGTAGATGCAAGCAACCATGTGTCAGGCATCTAAACCCTAGATTTTTTTTTGAAAGATCTTCCAGTCTAACAAAGGACGAAGTGTCTTAGGTTACTAGGTTGCAGTAGTATAAGAAAAGGAGTAGCCAGTAAGAAAACCGTGATAACATTCAAGCTTATTCAGCTGATACAGTACTTCTTTGCTTAGTGGTAGTAGTTCATGTGGTTTATCATGTGGCATTCCCCATTGTGTATTTATGGCTGTGGTTGCAGAAGGAAGGCACTGTTGAAATAAGCAGGCATTACAAGCTGGAGTGGGAGGCAGCAAAGGAGACAGGACCAACAAGCATGTCTTACCACCCACTCAAGCTTATAACAACGCTGGCAAATCATCACAGACTAATTACTTTGTAAGCACTAGGAAAGGCATTGATGATGAAGTGTAGCTCTTGATGTGCACACTCATTAGCTCTTGTTCTTTTCTCAGTGTATCTGTCACCCTCCCTTTCTGTCTCTGTAGCTCACATCAGTGCGCACACATCAAAAGTAGCTCTGCTGAGAAAGCTGCCTGACGACTGGAAGCAGAACATCTCCTGTGGGTTCAAGTGAGTTGTCGTTACAACAGATGTGTGCAGATGATTAGGATTAATCAAATCACTCCTGATTAGGATTAATCTAATCACTCCTGTATGATGATGCTACTCAAGAGGTTGTCATCTAGAGATACAGTCAGTTTATCAATAATCCAAACCTTTTCATCAGTGCTAGCTATCATCACTTCTAGTTTTGTCTTCAGAATTAGTGTTGAAATTTAGATCCATACCAAAGTAGATAACTTGGCAATGTCCCTTTTCCATCCACAGGCCATCCAAGTCACTGAATATTCTGCACCACCTACTTAAAAAGCTAACTGGGTAAGTTGTTGAGGACATTCATTGTCTTAGTTTTGTTTGTAGATTTATTAGTGTTGAGCTCCCGCAGCCACATTTTACAAATTTATTTTCTTGTAAGACTTAACAATAAAATCATACTAGCAATATAGCTAGTCTGGGCTGGCTTTACATATTTTAATTTAATGAATCAGTTTTTCATGAACTCATTGGTCCTGCAAGCACTTATTTAATGTGTAAAAACTATAAAAATGCAAATGTATTAAATTTATGTGGTTTGACTTAATGTACAGTCCACACTTTGCGAAGGGTTGGGTCTTCTTAAACTTCATTGTTTAGTTGGACAACATCTGCAGTTGAGTTGCCTGTGCAGATCTGTCTTCATGTTCTGTTTTAAGATGATGAAATTATTGTACAGTCATGTCTGAAAACCTTGGGCTAAAAATATGACGTTAGTCTTCCTTCATGTTTGTGTTGGAGGTTTACACAGTCGATTACTCAGCGGCACTCAATAGATGTGTCACATTCTGCTTTCTTAAGGCTCTGTTCACCTACGTTCCAGTCCGTGTGACAGGAAGCGAGAAATCTTTCAAAATGCTACAACATGTTTCACTGTGGATTTTGACTGTAACACACCCTCAATGACTTCATGTGGTTGTGTAGGTTAGAGGAAGGACGGTACCTGATTGCACACAAGGCAGGGGAACCATTTGTGACCTTATTAAAAGCGACCAATGGGAAAGTGAGTCGCGGGGCATACAACCTGCAGCAGGTCCACAGCTCTGTCCCACAGCCCCCAACCCCCAGCCTCGTGCCCTGGATACCTGTTGATCCAGCCGTGGTCCTGCCCTTCCACCAGAAACACGGCCGTGTCCCCTGCACCTTCCCATTAAAACCCTTCGAGGTGTGTACTACCATAGTTACTGTATTGATGGATGGAAATGTAAAAGAATATCTAATGGCATTAGAGGTAATGAATGACAAATAATGGCAATGACGTGAAAGCCCAGGAAGTTCGTGCGCGCGCACACACACACAGAGGGATTCTCAACAAAAAAAAAGCCAGCGTACCACTGCATGGTTTACCTGCACAAGCTCAAAACTAACAACAGGGACAAGAGCATAGTAAAATTAACAACAGGTTTTCTGGTGTAGACCCTGAGACATTTGGTGGATGCCTGTCTAAAATTCCACTTAGCAAAGAACTAAAAGAAGTTTTCATGGATTATCAACTGATGTTGTTACTTCTGAGAATGACAAATAAAATGTATATTGTTTTTGAATTTAGCCCCACTTATTTAAAGATACAACCATTTTACCTTTGTCTTATCCTGCCAGTCGGCGAAAGATGGGTCATCGCAGTCCAACAACCATGGAGCTGGGCAGTCAAAGAACAATTTGAATGCAGGAGGTAACAAGAAGAAAAAACAAAAGAAACGTGCAGCCAAGCGTAATAGGTATATTAAAAAGCTAGTTCAGAAGTCCATTTAAAATCCTGTGTGAAAGGATTTAATATGATATGAATGAAATGTCATTAATGTCATAGATTAGGTGAGTCAAAAGAGGAGCTAGACCTGTACTGTTAAGAAAAGGAAAGGAAAGAAAACCACTAACAATGTCTATCATTTCATACTGGAAATACATTATTACCTTTTATATAAATGTGAATGTTGAAGCACTTTTACAGTATATAATCTATACCATGTATTTTTGTTTTGTTCAGAGACATTTTTATATTTTCTGTCAATTAAGTTTTTGTGAAAATCGATCAACAATAAACTTTTGTGCACAGACTGTTTATAACTGTTTATTGTCTGGACTGTTGATATTATCTATCCCCTAAAACTTTGAGCTGCCTTCTTTGCCTAGCTTCCTGTGGTTTCTTGTGAAATAGGGTGGAGTCATAAGTGCAAGGAAAGGGAGGGTGTGTGAGTTGGGAGGTGAAAGGGGAAGCCTTTTTCAGGCTGGAAAGTTTAACGTTTACACCCATTCCACTAAAACATCGCCTGGACAAATCTCCCCAACGTTTACAACGTAGGTAAGTTCAGTGAACTAATACATTTTAAAGTGGACTACCTGAATATGTAATTTGAGTTAACTTCACTGCAGGAAGGTTGAAGGGAAAATTTCAACTTGGAGTCATGACAAAGGATTTCCACACAATTTTCATTCAGTTTGTGCAAACATGTTTTGTTGCTTTTTTTTTTTTTCTTGAGTTTTGGTGAAGTACGAATGGATTCGTGCTCTCCTGTCTCTAACTTGTTTTCTTGTGTGCATGTAAATGTTCTCCGTTGTCAAGCCAGTAGCATTTCTTTCCAGGGTGTGTCTCGGGGGTTGCTGTTAAGGATGTGTGTCAGACTGAACAAGGATTTAAAAGTGTGCAGGATCTAACCATTTTACTAGAAACTACTCTGAATGTGAATATGAAGAAAATAATCATATAAGACGTGAAAACAAATAAAAAACTATTAATTAAATGGATCAAGTCTTTTGCAGTGATTTGTGTGACTGCTGTACCAAAAGCAGAACTAAATGAATTTAGTTTCTCTGCTTTTGTTTAGAAGACCGTTCCTTAGTGGCTCATGTGATTATATCTTGAGACAAAACAAACATGACCCCTTGCAGGGTTCTGCTCAGACGTGTCAGTGATAGGATTATAATTTGGTTAACAAGATTGTATATTGTTGACCATTTTGTCACCTTTTTCCAGGACAGTCAAAATGGCTATGGTATCAGAGTTTCTGGGACAGCTGTCTCTCAACATTGGGGTAATGTCATACTTCTTTATAATGAAAACTTAAACATTACATTGTGTATGGTAGATACATGGCATACTGTTCATTTTAAGATGGCATCAGTTTTTCTCTCTCACTAATTTGCTTTCCATCCTCAGTCTGATGAACCCACATTCCCCACTGTGGTACCTGCTGTGAACTTTGACCCTGACAGAGATGCTGCCAGAATAGAGACCGCGATCAAAACCAAAGGCAAGATGCAGTACTGTACATGTTGCTCACAAAAAGAAATCAGTACAGTGTTTCTTCAGCTTCTCCCTACAGATGAGTAGCTGGTATTTGTGAGTCAGCATCCTGGCTTAAAGTGTTTTGATCATGCTGGAACAACTCCAAATCTGTGCCTCGGTGCTGGCAGAGCTCTGTTCTGGCCATTGCTTGAGAGCTATTAGCAGCGGTCTGACCACTAACTCTTCAACAGCTCACCATTTTGTTGTAATGAAGAATATGTTCTGTGTGGAGTGATGTTTCTTTACTAATGAGGATGTGAGGTGGGATATACCTGTCAACACACCACGTGTTGAAGCAAGCCAACTTTGCAGCCAGGCCCTTCTAACAGTTTATTCTTAAAAATATAAATATTTGCATTCCTTTTATCTCTTCTGATGTATGTAATGTGCATGTTAACATTAGGAGTGGATGAACAGACCATCATTGACGTCATAACAAAGCGGACCTACTCCCAAAGGAGAGAAATCGCTTTGCATATGAAAGGAGGGCAAAGAAGGTACAGTGGGCCTTGACAGAAAATCCAAAAGACTTCACAGCTCTGAGGATATGGTGGTGTTTACGGTTAGGTAACAGAGTTGTATTTCTAGGACATGATCACAGCCCTGAAGGGAGCGCTGTCTGGATCTCTGGAAACAGTGATCCTTGGACTGATGAAGAGCACGGCCCAGTTTGATGCCACAGAGATCAGACAATCGATCAAGGTAAAGGACTCCCATGGTATCAGTGGTGCTCAACATCGGTTGATTCCATTGAAGGGTTACACTGCCCTCTACTGGGAAAATTACAAAACTTGCCTTTTGCTGCAGCCTGATCAAAAATTTAAAATGTGTATGTCTTTAAGTGTCATGTATAAAAAGTAAAAAAAACTTCTGTCTCTTTCAGGGCTTAGGAACAGATGAAGAAACGCTAATTGAGATTTTGTGCTCACGCAGCAATGATGAACTAATGGAGATTAAGAAGGTCTACAAGGAGTGTAAGTCTAAAACATCCTAGGCATTCATATACAGGGCTGGAAATGTACATACACTGTCAGGCTCCCTCAGTCCATCAGAAGTCTTGTGTCCTGTCTTAAATGTTGCTGAACTAGAAATGCAACAGCTGTGTGATTACTCTGCATGTAGAGAGAGCTATATGCCTACGTCAACAATATTACTTCCCACAGTGTTCAAGAAGGACCTGGAGAAAGACGTGGCTGGTGACACCTCCGGGAACTTCGCTAAGCTGCTCTTGGCTCTGGTGCAGGTGAGATTTGTCTGTGCCTGTCTTCATGATTCACATAACGCAATACAGTCGTCACTGACCTGAGAGGTGTGTCTTATTTCTGTGCAGACTAAGAGAGCAGATCCATCCCCTGTTGTAGACTATGAATTGATCGATGAAGATGCCAGAGTAAGTTGCCTATTTTCACTTTTTCTGTGTGGATTATAAATCCACTTAAAAAGTATCGTTTTTTTACAAGTTCAACATTTCTGTAATGTAAATGATTCCAACCATTAATGTCTTAAATTGTTCTTGATCAGGTATTTGATATAGAAGCTGTTTAAATATGAACTACTTATTAACTTACAAGTTAATTACTAAGATAATTACCATGTCAGTTTTTGCCAATGTTGTACTTTACCCCAGAACATGCACATTTTGTGTTGATGACACTGAAATGTCCAAATGAGTTTGGAAATGGGTAGTTTGGTAAAATTTTGCACAGGTGATCATTTTGTACTAAGTCATTGCAGGCTTAGTGATGCCCTCATGTTTAAAATGAGCATCACCAATCTATGCCACAAGTATGGCAGTGTTTATTGGTATTTCGTTGATTCATCTCAGGCACTCTATGATGCTGGAATAAAGATAAAAGGAACTGATGTGGCGACCTGGATATCCATCATGTCGGGGAGAAGTGTACCCCACCTGCGAAAAGGTAACATTGTAAAAATTATTCTAAAGTCGTGTGGATTTTTATTTGTCCTTAATCATTTGTAAAATGTACCAATTAACTACCAGTTAATAATTTTTCTCTCCTTGTTAGTGTTTCAGAGGTACAAGAGTTACAGCCCCTACGATATGCAGGAGAGCATTGTGAAGGAAGTTAAAGGAGACTTGCAAAAGTCCTTTTTGGTTCTAGGTACATCTTTTATCAGTAATTCATATTATTAATACAGGCAGTTATTATTATTGTTAGAATTGACAATGATAATAAAAGGATATTATCTGAAGTAAATAACCCTGTAGGCCAGGTTTCGTTTTATGAATCGTATCAAAAATACAAAAGAAAATCACCTTTCAAATACAATATGTATTATCAAGGATATTTATTCTGTTTTTCTTTTGTTCCAGTTCAGTGCTTTGAAAACAAACAGCTGTACTTTGCCACCAGACTGAATGAAGCCATGAAGGTAGTTACAGTGCTGCTCTCTTTCTTCTTGTTGAAATTTGGCTATTTTGAGGGCCAAACTTCTTATTTTTTTTCTTTGGAACAGATGTAAGAAGTATATCTGCTTGTGAAAGTGTAATTTTGCTGCAGGAACACAGAATCCAAAGTTGGCAAAAGTCATCTTACAACAGCGTTGCATCAGCTGCTGTAGTTAAGTTTAGAGCACATTCAACTTAAGTAAGTGCTGACTTATGCTTGTCTGCTCAGAGTAAAGGAGCCAATGAGAAGATTGTGACCAGAATTATTGTGTCACGCTGCGAGGTGGACCTGAAGAAGATCTGTTCTGAATACAAGACCAACTTTGGACAGTCTCTGCAAAAGACTATACTGGTAAGTGTATCATACAGCCTGCCCCTGGCCTATGACTAATGCATCTTCTGCAGCCCCTCTAACCTGCTCTGTTTCTACAGGAACACACCAAGGGAGACTACCAGAAGGCGATGCTCAGCCTGTGTGGACCAGAGGAGTAAAAAGGGCCTCACTTTCCACCAACAACAAACAAACTCTGCAGCAAAAGCCCATTCCTACTTTTTCTACTTAAACATTTGAATGCAACATTCAGATATATAAATGTATCTTTTTGATACATAAAGAATCTGTATTACTGCTTACTTTTGTTATACCAAAACGGCAATAAAGTTTCTTTGTTGGAGGATTGTTCCTTATCTTCCGTGCATCTCACCTCATATGTTCTTACTTGATGTTTGCATAGATGACCATTAGAGTGCGCTATAGCAGCATTAAAAGCAACTGCAGAAAGCTCTAGCTCCCCTGTGTCTCAGGGCCTCATAATATCCAGTACCTGCTGAAGACATGCAGACATGTTTAATTTTTAAATATAATGAAATATTTGATCTCAAATTACATTTTTACATTCCAGTATCATCCTTTTTGAAACTATTAGAAGGAAATTAAGAAAAAGACAAGAAATATGTATAAATAAGTATGGCACAACATGTTTTATTTGCACAAGGGATGAAAATAGTACTATTTTTAGCTTGTGAAATGTAAAGATCGTAGTTAAAATGATTGTGTTTGAATTCAAAACTTCAGCAGCACTATTTGGAAACTTCATGTTCATGACTTTATGAAAACACATTAATGCATGATCCTTACAGAATCTTCATACAAAGGATTATGAGAAATTTTCCTCATTTTCCACTATGAGGTTTCATCAAGATGATTTAATCATTAGTGTGTTTTTCTGTGTTTGTTTGGTGCTAATATTTTAATTAAAAATGTTAATTTTACCTCCGGCAAAGATGATTTGCATATCACTAAACAAGCGTCTATATCCGTGTGTTTCTGCTGTTTAGTTTGTGGTCTCTCAGGATGAAAT